AAACTCCTGAGCTTGCCTCTGCTGTCTGGTGGATTGTGCCGCTGGACTTCTCCAGCGGGTGGGGGTGAGTGTGGAGCAAGCGTGGTCCAGGGCAGGCGTTCTGGAAGTTACTTCCGGGTCCATTTCACCATCTGGTTCTCCCGATCCGGTGCGAACCGGCAGAAACCCACCACTGCTTCTGGTACTGACATAGACACTAGCCAGACATTTTTGCCTTTCTTATTGACAGTTGTTAAGTTTGGGGTGCTATGTGACAGATGCCTGTCTGTTTGAATTCTAAAATCCCAGGGCAATTTAACTTCTTCATTTTCTATGACTTTCTCTATTTTGCGGTTGTTTCTCCTCCTCCTCTGTCAAAATAATGTAGTTATAGATTTCATGTGGTGTCAGTTTCTTGATCTGGTATACCTCATAATGCTGACATGTATACATTTTTTAACTTTCTTGACAAAGGCAAAGACCTGGATTATGCTTTGGAATTTGAAAATGTCAGCATTTTCAAGTATTAGCCTTTTTTCTATTGTGCCCACAAATTAGTCCTGATGGAATGTGGATAGATTTTTAATTATTCTAACCTATGTATTTCTAAACACATCAGAGATACTAACAGTTTGTGAAGCTACAGAAGTCCCTTATTTAAAGAGTCATTGGGGACTAAGAAAAATCCTTTACAGGTTTGAAAGAAACACAGTGAATGATCGTTGAGTTGGGTAATATGAGCATGGTTAATTCTGCTTACCGGTAATTACTGATGGGCATTGAGCACGTTTTTAGCTCCAGAACTATAGGCATAATCAAATTTCATACCTTTCTCTGCTTATTAAAAAAAAAACTTTGAATGAGATTAGTTTAGTCTTTAGTAATAAATATCTCTTCCTTCCCCATAACATAATGCATGGGAGAGACAGAAAAAAATGTCACAAAAAGAATGAGAGGGAGAAAAAAGAAAGTACTCATCCACTTTTGGTTCTTATTTTACCCCTACTGATTTTATTCCTCCCAGCAAATTACAGTTCTTGAGCCTTTCCAATTATATAACCTCAACAAATTACCCTGGATGGAATGTGGACTTCATTTTAAAATGCTTTATCTGACTTAAATGATATTTGTAATAGAATGAGGATGAAGGCTATGGCATTAATTTCACAATTGTACTGTATATGGAATATCATCCTGCATATACAGTACTTGTCTTCAAGAGCTTGCAGGCATTTTCCAACTTAACATTAATTGATAGTGTAACAGAGTGATAATAAAGGCTAATTTACTTTTCCCTGCTTTCTTATACATTTTTATGATGGAGCCAATTCCATCTGACAGTCTAGGAGAGGGATGTCAAACTCAAGGCCCAGGGGCCAGATCCAGCCCATGGGGTGCTTAGATCTGGCCCATGGAACTGCCCTGAAACAGCAGTGCCTCGGCCCTACTGAGCTCCTGAGCTGCATTTTTGCTGGCAGAAGATTGCAGGAGGCCATCGCAGCTGAAAACAGAACTCAGGATCCTTTTTTTTCCATTTTTAAANCTTAAAGGGACCAAGGTTGGAGACCCCTGGCCCTAGAATACAGTCCCACTGAAATCATCCGGACAAGTTGGGCTACATTTCCTGCCCACTCTAGTTATTCCTGAGGGCCTAAGGGTTATCATGGGAGAGTGTCCTCATCTAGCTGAAGGTGTGCAACTTTGAAAAGGGCTGTAATATCTCCTTTACAGGGAAAGAAGACTGCTGTTACTTAAACATAGCATTTTAAAAGGGGTCCAGCATGTTGCCCTCTGTCATAAGTAACCCAAGTCTTCCCAGCTTTTTTTTCTTCACCCCCCTCTCCAATTAAAAAGGAAATAAGTGCATCTATCTTTTTGGTTAGTTAGTTAAACCGTTGAGGATGAAATGATTTGCAACAAATAATTTGTGCAAGATCAGTTTTTTTCTTTGAAAAAATAAGTTTAAAGATTTAAGATTGAGGTTCATATTCTGGTTAAACATTAATACAATGTAATCCTAAACATAGTTAAAGGTAATAAAAACTAAACTAAAAGAAAAAGAAATAATATTTTTCATCCTGGTTCAACAAAAAGTCCATTAGAAGTTGCCAGAAATATCAAACACATAGTTTGTCTCTGATAGTCCAACTTTATAGTTCGTATTTTTGCTCTGTACAATTTTGACTTACTCCCTATAGGGGATTGAAACATTTGATCTTCCATCATTTTTCATACTTTAAAAAAGTCTTCAAAGATTTCACCAGGATACTCTGTAAATTCCATAAAGAGGCATCACCCAGGTTTTCTTGTCATAGCTATTCCCAGTTCTAGTTCCTTTTCTTCCCAAAAAGAGACCAAAATATCTTACTGTGTCTCCCATATTTTTTGAATTGTCTTTTGTACTTGGATAATGTCAATTTTGTTGTCATCCATGCGTTCAAACTCTTTGTAAGGTCTTTGTCACATAAAGGTTTTTGAAGATTTTCTCATCATCTTTTAAATTCTTATCCACCGAAATCTGTACCCTTTCTGAGATATTATTAATATTTTAGCCCATGTAAAAAAACTCCTGGGACCTGGGATAGACAAATGTTATCTTTTGATAATGTTAAAGGTACTGTTGCAGGATGTAAACTGTTCCAGGAAAATCCACCTTTTGTAATTGACTGATGGTGATTTTGTCAATACTGTTGGTGTTCAATACTGTTGGCGGTCCAGGGTATTTTGGGATTCTGTTACTATTGGTACTGTCTTTGCTTTCTTTTGTCACACTTGTTCTATTTGCAAGTCTTTGCACATTGGGATTTTCCCCAGTATTTTTTCTTCTATTCTGCTGTCTTCAGGTCCGTGGTGGGTTTCAATTTTTTTAGAACCTATTCTGTGGGTGTGGCCTATTTTGTGGGCATGGCTTGACAGTCATGTGACCGGGCAGGTATGGCCAACTTGACATCATTCATGTACACTCAGTCACATGACCACCATCCCCCAAGCCATATGGCAAAA